CAATTACCTGATTAACCATGAAAATGATAAGCAAATGAATTCATAATAAAAGTAATTGTTAGCTGCACCCCTGAATTTCAGGTTTTTAACACTAGCTGTGCTAACTAGCACACAGACCATTAATGCTGATGATCAGATCGACTGATCAGTTATCCACCCCTCGACTCAGAACTTCACAGTGCTGCCATTAAGAGTTCCTCCTGTGCGGCATACACGAATGGCTGTAATATGACAACTGTGGGTGATTCGTTCTGTAATATTTTGAAAAATGTGCGCAATAATTACTAAAATGAACAATTATCAGGGTAAAAATCTTCCTTATTTTATAATTTGCCACTTGAATCATGCAGTCTGATTCATTCCTGGTCGACTTTTTTTAGTTTGCATGTGCTGTTCGAGGCTGCAGCATGTTGAGCATCAACCCGAAGGAATACAGAGTTGTGGGTCTTTGTTGTGGGCTCGCAATTACTTGTTTGTCCCGAGCCATCCGACATTTTCCACATTCATGTACCAAGGGCCACGTCCCACAAAGCAAATGTTTTGATGAGATGCCTTGTTTTGTTCTGGTCCTTTTGATTGAACACCTTCTGAGACTGCCGCCTTCAAAAACCAAACAGCTCCAGTGTCTTAGCGTTGCTCATAGCCACCCTCCTGATGCCCACCATCAAGATAATGCCTTTTATAAAGCCCATTCTCACTCATCTGTTGTTGTTCCATTCACCTGTTTGTCATGACAGTGGTGCGAAACTGCGAATACAAAGGAAGCAAGTATTTCTGCAGCGCCTGGGTTTCCACTGAGCGTACATGGAATCCTGGAGGGTTTATAAAAGCACATCATGATGAAAAAATGTGAAAACTAATGAAAGACTTCTCGATAAACACAAAATGCAAATTAATTAGCTAGAAGAGTAAATTATAATAAACATACTCAACCACCTATCTCACAAATACACACACTTGATTGCATTTTCTGCATGGGCGGTTTTCAAATCTGTTTAACCTCTCTAACATGCCATTTTATGCAATTTATTTTGTCATACTAAACTTAAATGCGCTGCGTTCGTAGGGCTGTCGCAGTGAGAGAATTTCCCCTGCAGTGACTAAAGGTGGCTAAGCAACGCGATATGCAGTCTTACCACTTTAATTTGTTGTTTTTGCAAATTACTTTATTTATCCTGCTTGTAGTGCTTTGTAAATAAGCTTTATTGTTAGGCTATTATTGTTCCTTTTTAAATGACGCAGATGACAGTGTTAAAACAAATTAAATACTTGTTAATTGTTAAATGCAGAGCACAGAAGGGCAATGAGGTGCAATAAGGCAGCCCCTCCAGGATTTCACGTGCTGTTTTTGTGATTGATGCACCCGTCTGATTTCATGGCAGCTTTTCTGTTTTTACCCCTTTTTTCTATCGTGATTACAAAAAATGAATAAAAAATGTTAGAAAAATACAGTTACATAGGATGCACATCATGATCCGGTGCATTTTCAGAACCAATATTGACCTAAAATAAATCAGAAATCAAAAACTAGTCTTTGCTGTTTTCATTGTTAAATATGTCAGAGCCAGTCAGGAGGATTCATAAGGCAACAGCGAGATCCACAAGGATGAATCATGCCTACCTGATTGTAAACATAAAGATGACAGCTTGACAGTGGTTGTGACACTTAATAGTTTGTAAAGTTAAAAAGCTCCAACAGTTACTAAATAATCTGTGTCTCGTGTTCTAATATGGTCAGTTACATTTTTCCTCACCATGAAAGATGTTAAAATTCAGCTGTTGCAGGAAACGGCCCTGCTCATGGTTATCTGTGGGGGTCTCACATGTTTGCATTATGGTGCTGCTCACATTGACACTGAAATGGCTCAACTGAGTCATTAACCTGTTCATAAATGTTGGGTAACATTAACCATGTGATGCCAAAAGTTTTCTTTGTCCCAGGATCAATATGCTGCATGCAGCTCTGGAATGAAATAAGATTGTACTACTTTAAAACAGTCTTATTTGTGGTAAAGTTGAGGTAATTGGACAAAGTTGCACGGTCACGCAGGTTTCACAGGGATTGGTTGAATTTGTGTTAATTGTTGTGGTTGCAACATCGGGAAATCCTAGAGCAGTGGTTCTCAAATGGTGGGCTGCGGCACACTGGTGGTGCTGTGGTGCCAATCCAGGTGTGCTGTGGATTTTGTAATAACCATACATTAATATGGCAATATTCAAGTGGGCCTATACGAAAAGTTATGCACAAATTTTTAACTGACCATATCAGTATGTTGTGCACACCCATTTTTTAATAAAGAGGCAAACTCTAGCTAAAAAAAATTTAATGTAATTTAATTTAATTTAATTTAGAAAACCTTCACAGGGAACCTATTTGTCGCTGTTTGCTCTTGGGAATTATAAGTGTGTGACACATCAAAGGCCCTGATTGGCAGCCAGTGTGAGGGATGATAACATTTAAAAGGAGAAAGCCATGACATATTCTCCGGCGCAAATTACGACAAAGCACCAGTGCAGACGACATACTACTGACAGTAGACAGTATCACAAAAGCTGTCTTATCACAAGATCACAAGAGTGATAACACACGTTATAGAAGATATTGTGCACAGATATACATACAGGTGTGCCTTGAGATTTTGGCTTGCCCTTTGGTGTTCCTTGGGAACAAAATTTTGAAAACCACTGTCCTAGAGGGACTGACGAGATGTGCAGCATTCTTTCAGCTTTGACGCTTTGGTTGCGTCTGGTTGCTATGGTACAGAAGGTAGCGGTAGAGTACTTGCTCTGGATGAAGGGAGGGCCGAAGCACGTATAGTAGGGAGAGAGGACAGACCCAGTATTCTGTGTGGGTTTACTATTTATGTCGACTCCATCGTTGTTGGTCTTTGTGGTATTTGTCACACCACTGTGATGGGACGGCTTGGTAAAAAGTGACATTGACAAGTGCATCGTTTTACCCATTTTTAACTCTTGGTGAGCAGAAAAAACACGACTTAGGTGCAGCGCTTTTATGGACGCTCAGTGCCTCACTAGCTCTCACACTGCTGGCATTTGTGGCATAGCGTAAACGCACAACGCTCCTATGAAGAAAAGAAAAAACAAGAACATAGTGGTTGTTGCAGTTGGCTTGTCAGTAGCGCAGTATTGTAATATTGTTAAATTATCACGATAATCCAATTTGACTACTTTGGTTTGTCATCTTGTGTTTTATTTTGTGTTATTCTGTTTTGTGTTGAGAGGGCTGAAGTTTTGCTGTGTTTCTTTTTACATTACTTTCATGTCTTGCAATGGAATGTAAGATGATCTCCTGCTTATGCTCTTAATAAGTGATGCTGCATGCATCCTCAAAAGTTTGTGGAGCACCTGACTTTTAGCATTTGTCATTCTTAAGGTCGTTTTCCTCCAGCCACATAATCTTTATCACAGTGAGAACAGCATGCTCTGATACAAATTGATATTTGTGTACGGGTGAGAACAGAAGTGAAATTGAGTCAAAAAGTATCCATAAACATTTCGAGAATTGCCACATCTATGCGTTTCATTTTCTCCTTTTTCTTTTAGTGCCATATGAGGCGACTAAGAAAGGGTTTACAGTGGGAGAATGCCCAAGAATTCATTTAGTCTTTGATGTCTCTTGCCGGCTATTAAACATGCGGTTGGATATGTAATAGTTTTTATATGGGCAGTCATCCAGCTCAGGTCATTATTATGTAGAATAATTTCTGTCTGTATGGGTGCATTATGCCAGAGAATATGAGGTTATTTTACAGCACCAAGATAACACATTGATAAACACTGCAAGAGTCATATAATGAATACCGAGAAGAATCACACCATGTCCATTGCCTTGAGTGGTCTATGTGACTTGTTGAGTTTGTTCTTATTTTTTACTTAGGTCACACAGAGTGGCTCTAGCCTTTCACACAGAAAGGCCCCGAGCCTAATTTCTTACTTTCAGACACTCTAATTTTCGCTTATATATGGAGCAGAAAGCTGCAATGTAGAGCCTGGCTGTCATTAACGAGGGCAGTGCTGCAACACCAGCAGGCTGAGTGAGTTCAGTGAAGAAAGGATTGGATTTTGATCTGCCTTAGTTTAGCAGATTCTGATCCGCTAAAATATGTCCAATACAGATCCTTAGTTTCAGCCTGGGACATCCCTAATATTGATCTTTGAGGGCATACATTTCTGTATTAAATTTTTTAACATATATGTAAATGTGGTTATTAAAGAACTGTGCCCACTATGTCCTGATTGGGATTCTTTACACTTGAAATATAAACTTCCCTCTGGGAAAAATTCGCAATGTTGTTACCTCAAACATATCGTTCATATCTTGGGGGCGGCTGCGGCTCAGGAGTTTGATTTGAAGATCATTGGTTCGATCATCAGCTCCTCCTGTCTGCATGTCGGACTATGCTTGGGCAAGATACTGGATTCCAAATTGCTCCAGATGGCTGTGGAATTGCATTTTAAACTGAGAAGCAGGTGGCACCTTGTACGGTAGCCTCAGCTATACGAGTGTAAGTCCATTTCCCATCCATTTCTTTTTACATAATGATACAGCACTATGGTATTTATGATGCTGAAGACGTGGACGTTTCCATTCCCCTCTCTGTCAGCTCTGCTAAGTTTGTGCTCTTATGTCGATTTTGTAAGTGCTGGTGGTGCTTTTTGTGGCTGATGTTGAAAGGCGGTGGTGTGTAGCTGTGATCACGATGAGGAAATCAACTCACCAGTCTGTAACCTCTCCTCCTGCTGAGTCTGCCAGCTGGCCAGGTTGAGGTTTCAAATGTAAACATCGAGGAAAAGATTGTGAAGTTGGGCACCAGCCGAACTAGCATGCTGCGAGCCATTGGTTAATATACTGGACAACCTTTTGTGCCTGTGTCCGTTCCAAGGGGATGTCAGGAACTGTAATATCCTTTGTTTCACTGAAACGTAGCTAAATCCTGGACAACGCCATTCAGCCTGGTAACTCTTTTTCTATATGTCAGTCTGACAGAACAGAGGACTCTGGTGAGAGAAGGAGAGGAGGCCTGTGCCTTATGGTGAATAAGGACTGTTGTGAGATGCTGTCTTGTTCCTGCTCAACCTGCGCCATAAGGGGAATAAACACTCTGGATCACTACTATGGACCATTCAGAGGCGGCTGGCCATGTTTGAGGGAAGCGACCATGTGGCCATCTTGTTGAGATCAAGGTATGTAAACGAACTGCGATGCATACCCCCAGTGAGAGGAATGGTAGCGGTGTGCCATATCATCACGATAATACGGGTATAATTTTTAATATCATGAAAAAATCATTTTGTGATACTTGCGATATTTGGACTTGTTGACGTATTGATGTCATACTGTTACCCACAGCAACAACAAGCATGGCTGTTCATTACCGACTCCACGGTGGTTCCAAAAAGAGGAGCAGCTTCAGTAGTGTGGGATAAACTGTGGCGTCCTGAATGTTTTATGAACAGCCCCGGACTTCTCAGACTCTTTTAGTGACTTACTGCTCAGAGGGAACTCATTCAGCGGCTCCTCTGGCAGCAGCACAGCGTCTCTCCCTCTCCTCTGCACCGTACGGGGTCGTCAAGTGATTAAACCTTTGGTACTTTAAACTTACGTGGTACTTGCAGTTCGACAAAAAAACTCCATATATGTAAATGTGTGATAGTTGTGGTATCATAACAGCCTGTCACAGGTCATTTAGGATTTTACTAAAAGAAGGAAATCACCTGTTGATTTATATATATAGATCCCAGGGGACATTTGCTGTATTTGGGAGCTGTTTAAATGTGTCATTTGAGGTAGATTTTATTTTGTTGAAGTATTAATATTGTTACTGTTGTTGTCCATAAACTAAAGAAATGAGAGATCATTTTTGTTTAGATTTTTCTGAATATTTTAAAGCAAACTGTAAAACTACATCACTTATTTTGTTGTAATTCTATGTTCTTAAATTTATAATTCATTTTTTAAAACTAATTTTTCACATCGTCAATAATATCGTTATCGAAAAAATACCCTGAACTCAGACGTTGCGCTAGACTTTTTCGTCACCGGTCATTTTGACTGACAGGGTCGTAAAAATCCGGTCATAATCTATTTTTACCGGTCATTTCAATTTTCGTTTTTAAATGATAATAAAGATATTCAAAGACATTTAGTTTTCATTCGTTCATTTTTAATAAATCCAACAAGTAAGTTATAAAGTGTGCATTAATAAGGACACGAACGAAAAGATGAACAGACATCCACACACCCATGCCATTAGGCTTTGCCCTGGACACACCGGACGGCACTAACGCGTCCGGTGTGTCCAGGGCGTTATGTAGTTATGCCTGTAGGCTCAGTGACACAAAATTAAAATTGTAATGAAGTGATTAGGGTATTGAAAAATGCGTTCGGTTATGCACTGTTTTGTTATTTTAAATTACAAACACAGTGTTTTCTCCTCATGTTCCACAGTGCGTGCTGTTGTTTTATTTTGAAATTGGCCGGATTCTCTCGTCTTTTCTGTGTCCTACTTCCTGTTTGGTACGATCCGCTCGATCCAGCTTGACAGAAGCGCTCGCGTGAAAAATAGACCAGATGCCGAACTGAAGCACTGCCTCCACGGGCACTCCGCTCTGCTCAGGGGCCTGTGTGGACAGTCAGATAGGTTAACATGGGCGCTGATTGAAAACTGCTTCTGCTGCTGGGTTCTGTGCTTTGGTTCCGTGTCTTGTGTGTCCAGGGTTTTATGTCAACAATGCTACATGAAGCAGATGAATGACTTTTTCTCTGCAGTGTGAAAACGGCAGCCACTTAAACCACTGACTGTGCACTCCGCTGCCAAGTGGGCAGGGGTGGTAATTGCAACTGGTCAAAATGACCGACGGCCTTCAGATTTTCTGGTCATTGTTGTAAAAAACCGGTCAATGACCAAGAATATCCGGTTAACGCGACCCCTGCCTGAAATATTGTGATATTATTATAAGACCATATCGGCCACCCCTAGTCTGTGGTGCATTTAATTTGTAAAACAGAAGCTGCTGTGCTCAAAACTACAGTTAAATCATTCCATAACAAAACAATGGATTACCAGAACCATACAAGATGCCATAAACAGAGGCACATCAGCCTACGACTTAGGGCTGCCGTCTGAAAATAAAGACAGTAACGAAGTAGCAGCCTATAATGTAAGAGGAGGAAAAAAAGGACTAAAATGCGCGAGATGAAGGAGCAGATGGGATCACATTTCACTGGAATTTTACCTTGTATAATTTCATCTGACAAATGCTTGAATGGATGAGCTGATGCCAGCCCACCAATGGATTGATCTGCATCTAATATGAAAGCATTTTCTTGAGGACCCCAATGAGACCATAGCCTGAAATACTGTGGTTTTTACAATAGACAACAGTTCACCACAATACAAACATTTCTGGAATTCTCCACATTGAAATCCCGCAGCTCAGTATGTAGCAGATTACTATTTCCTTCATCACAAAAGAACTAAAGGCTTTTGTTGTCCCAGCTCATTAGTGCATTTGTGAGTACAATATAAATTCCTTTGTGTAGATGTGGCAACAGTGGACTGACCAGTAAGGCTACTGTAATTAAGGAGGCGAGTCTACAGCAGATGACTGTCACTGAGGTATAACAGCCACTTGGTATTCAAAAGGAGCAGTCTGAATCCTTATATTTAATTGAACATGCGTTTAAATGTTTAAATGATATCAGTGGGTAGATTTCTCTGAGGAACAAAGTATTGAAGAGGATCCTGTAAGTTAAAGACTAATTTTCTTCACCTTACTTTGTAAGCATAGATATCCAAGAATGAATACGGAGCCTTTTGAAGCTTAATATTAGGTGGACCATGTTAGTGCTCAGAGCCGAGCCACATGAAGCAGAGGCGGTGGGGAACCAATCAACCCCATGAAGGTTGGATAGGATGAGCCAGTTTCTACAAAGTCATCCTTGACTATGCAATCATTGTTCTGAGCTATAGAAAAGTGGATGGGGGAGCGGTATTGTTGATATCCTATTATAGGGGCAGACTCTATAGGGTTGAGTAGGTTCATCGTGCTTCGCTTCGTATAGTGCACATGCAAATTCAGAGTACAGAAATGCAGAAATGAATGGCTGGAGCCTTTTCAGAGTGAAGAGGATAGATGGATGGCCAGCCAGCCGTCTGTTCTTTATTGTCCTCAAAAGGAAATTCATTTTGCTCAGGTCAGTGCCATATTAACAGACAGTACAATAAATTAAGATAAACACTGAACATGAATTTAAAAGATGAAGATTACTAAAAGCCTTCAACTAATCCTATAAATGTGTGTGTGCACATGTGTACTTGCGTGGGGAATGTTAGCCCAACAGGTCCTGTTCTTCCTGGCGGAGGGGGCAAGTGGGTTCTGATGTTTTTAAGAACCCTACTGTAATATCACAGGGGATGAAGCTGGTTCTGCCTCCGCCTGTTTTGAATACAAGGGCAGCATATCTCCTACCAGAAGGCAGGAAAGCAGGAGCTGAGGTTATCGCTTGAGTCCCTCGCAGTCTTACTTGCTTGCTTTACTGTCCTCTGGTCGTAGAGCCACTGAGAGGTTGAGCACTGCTCCCCACAAAACTTGGACCGCTGGGTTATCACCCTCCTCACTTTGCCTTGTTTGTATCTGGGAGTCCCACATACCAGACCAGAAAGAAAAGGTAGGGAGGCTGTCTATATGGTACACGTACAAGCTGCGTAGGATGAGAGGGGCTATGCTGGGAATGTCCAGGCACCTCACGATTCAATTCGATTTTGATTCAGAGGGCTCATTGCTCATTGTTTGACTACTTAATACTCTTAAAATATAGCATGCTGTATTTGTAGTGATGATTAAATTAACAGATGAATATACTTGGCTTGTGGCTCTCGTCCAGGTCCCTTTTCCCTTCAGTCTTATATTCAAAATGCTTCCATACTATAGCTGTAAAACCAGGGCGTGCCAGTCAAATTGTATCCATCTGCAGTCGGACATGGTGACCTGTTGTGGCATACTTTTGCCAGTGTAGTGTCTGGTGTTTGCATACTGCAATATTTCACGGGTTTGCAATTCATATACTGTTGACTAACAAATGGTTTGCAGCATTTTTATTTTAGAAGTTAATTGTACTGATGAATGAATTAATTCATATGAAAGCATCTCACAGTCTCCTGCCTGTATGACAATAAGAAAATAAGGGGGATGCTTTAATGTCTCTGGCGATGCAGTGCAGCCTTTCTCCTGCACCCTCAGCTCTGGGAAAAGCCAAGACACTGAGTGGGCCGGGCGCACTGTTTTTGAGGTGAAATGGACTGAGCAGAGTTATTTTCTTCACCACAGAGTTGTTTTAAGTTGGTAAGTGGGTCTCATTTGCTTGCGTGACTGATGATCGCTGCTTCTCTCTGGTAACGTTCATCTCTGGGTGATAGTGTAAAAAGTATTCACAAAATACTTCATGTTCACCCCACAAATATAACTATTTTGTAATCGATTGTTGATATATATGAGTCGATGCCAAATTGTCCACATCTGCATCGCAGTGCATCTAAGAAATGAGTATTTTCCCAACCTCTAACATCCAGATGCCTCAGTCTATGTAGGAGGTAGATCTGCTGCCAGCACTTTTTGTAGATGGCTTATGTGTTGTCGTTGAAGTCCAGCTTGCTGTCAGTGGTGTTCCTGAGGTACCTCCTGAACTCTATGAGTTGCTTTGTCTTCCTCACAGTAATCTGGAGAAAGTTCGTTTTGCACCACTTCTTCACTTCCTCCTCAAAATGGGCGGCGCTGCTGGAGGTGTCAACCAATGCAGTGTGATCTGCAGACTTCATGGCCATGTTCACACTGTCCGAGCTCCTCAGGTCGTTGGTTTATAGTAAAAACAGGGGAAATCACTGTGTGGAGCACCGGTGGACCCCTGAGTTTAGTGCTGTGGCTCCAAGCTAGCAACCTACACCTTAAAACGTTTTTCTTTCAGGGATTTAGACACTTTTAGGCCAGGGCTGTTCTCCCTAGGTACAAATGTTCCACCAAAACAATTTCCCTCCTGACACTTTTTTGCAAGAGTACCGTTGCTGAATACTGAGCTTAGCTTTCCCTAAGACAACTGTGATTTTTGTAAAATAATACAAACAACCCAGAGCGTTTTGTTTTTTCCACAGTGTGCTATTATAATGGGCTCAGCCAGACCTTTCTCCAGTGCTAGCACAGTGTGAGACAGGTCTGGCTGTGCGAGACTAGAGAGGTAGAGCAATTGACCCTGACAATCTGCTTCCTTTTGAGGGCAAAGTCTAGTATCCAGAGGATCATATGGGAATCCAGCTGGAGATCTTGCAGTTGGGTGCAGCGGATGTGGGGCTGCATTCAATTGAAGGCCAAGGAGAAATCCACAAACCAGTTCTCCATTCCCATCCCTATGTGC